AACGATCAACCATAGCAACGACCACCAATTGAGCCACTAGTGAACTCGACCAACCACCAAGCAAACCAATCGATCATGAGTCAATATATTAACCTTAATATTGATCAACTTACAGGTAAAGTATGATTACCCACAATTGGGCCATGATTATGCCAATGTTAACAAAGAGCCAATTCCGAAACCTATAAATTGAAGTTTGAGGTAATGAAGTAGGTGATATGCATTTACTATGCCATTAATTATTAACTGCTAACATTAAACTGATTTTGCCATCAAAGTTCATTTTGTAGGTACCTTCCGAGCGATTAGTTCAATCCAACACTTAGAGTTAAGAAGGATATTTAAACATTGGACAACACATCACAGATTAAACCATTGACCTCAATCCTACACACAAAACATATACTTTATTTTCTAAATAAATAAAGCAAGCACATTAAACAAAGTGTGTATAAAATGTTTGAGTTTGAAACTTTAAAGAATATGATTTTCTAATGTTTCATTGTTTTTGAAATATTTGGTTAGACTTGTTAAAGAAAAAACTAATGTGTTATGTTATTTTTCATTATATTAACAATTATATTTTAATAAACATATATATTTATATTTTAAAAACAGTATATATTTACTTGATTTATTGATCAATGATTAAAAGAAATGGAGAAAATATATTTTTGTTATTTTTACTAATAAAAAAATGGAAGAGAAGGAATAAGTTGTTGAGAATGGATCCATCACATAACTAAACCACACAAGAAATGGAGAGGGAAAGGAATTTATTTGTCACGTTAATAGCGTGTGACTCCAAAGCCAAAGGCAAGTCAGAAGCACAACACAAAACGAGAGAAAGAGAGAGAAGAAAATACATGAAATTGAAAGATGAACGAAGATGGCGTAAGCTCTGCCAATCCCAATCTCTCTCTTCCGAAACCACCTTCTTCTCCTCCCACACCTGCAGCAAGGTCTCTCTCTAGGGTTTCTCGCTCTAACTTTTCCTTTCATTTGCATAATTATTGCATACCGTAGCTCCATTTCTCACTCTTCATTTTCTAGGGTTTTGTCCTTTCCTTTCAATTTTCGCTGATATTCCTTTCTTTGTCTTCCTCTAGTTCTGCGGGGGCCTCGTCGCCGGCGTTTCCGCCAAATGGTGATGTTCGTCGCCGCCACAAATCAAGTGCGGATTCGCGCGAGGTTGTGGGTTCGTTGCTGCAAGGCTCTTCGGTTCCCTCCTGCCGGCCATGGGAGCGCGGCGATTTGCTGCGCCGCCTTTCGACGTTTAAGCTCGCCGGGAAATTGCCCAAGGTTGGCTTCGATACGATTGACTTGTGATGGAAACGATTCGGTTGAGATAATTGGGAACCGGGAGGGGACAATTGAACTGATGTCTGTTGTTGTCATTTTGCAGGTTGCTGGGTCGTTGGCTTGTGCGAAGAGAGGTTGGGTGAATGTGGGTGTTGCTAAGATTGAGTGTGAGATATGTCGTGCTCAATTAGATTTTGCCGTGCCTTCAGCTTCATCTTTTGAAGGTGAATCTATAATTCTAATGGATTTTTTTTTTTGGTTTTGCTTTTTAATGATGGGGGATGGGATTGCTGATTCTGCTAGATTTCCAACTCAAAGGTCTGCTCAGAATAAAACTCCTCATCATCAAGCCACACACTGAAATTACATGACAAACAAGAGCTTAGGTGAACCAAGCTCAACCTTTTTCATAGTCATTTCGGGCTTGGGCTTGGGGGCTCTGTGTATGTATGACTGAGGCTGTCAAAACGGGCCAACCGTCCCGACCCGACCCGGGCCACTACGGGTTTGTCACTTAGTGAGCCGACCAACCGCTCATTTATTAGCGAGCCAAGAAAGAAAGAAAAAAGAGAAAAAATTCGGAACCCGGTCTGACCCACTCACGGGTTGCTCACTCTCCTTAATTATAATTTTTTTTTTAAATAAAAAAAATTCTACAAACTTTCTAAATTCAATAATATAAAACAAATTTCACTCCTAACATGAGTGTTTAATAATTTTGAAAATAAGGATTAAATTAATTTTTCAAAATAAAAAAAAAAAAAATAAAAAAAATGAATCACTTGTCAAACATAGCGGTACAAACGTGAATTTAAAAAATTCGACATGTTTGTATTAGACATTTTTAACGTCGAATTTGTGTCAATATACAATCGTAATTCAATTTTTTTTTAAAAATTGTAATCCTTTTTTTATAATCTAAGAGATCTTGAAAGAGAAATGTGAAACGTTAATATAGATTCGCATCAATAAAGCAATAATACAAAATTCAATACAACACACACAAACAAGTTCATAGACAAACAACACAAAACAAACAAGTTTCACAACCACCAAACAACTAAACAACAAAACAAGGTCAATAAAAAACAACAACAAGTCAATAAACACAACAAGTTAACAAAAATAAGTTCTTTCAAAAAACGAAAAACGAACAAAACATAACCTTCAAAAGGTGGGTTCATTGGAAATAAAGTGTTGCCAACCATGAGGGAGAGACAGAGCAGAATGGCCGCATATGAAGGACAAGAACACGAAAATCATTGGTGGAAAACAAACGAAAATCATACTAAAGTAGTAGTAAAATTAACAGCATCATGTATATCAAATGAAAGAAAGATTACCATTGTGATGGTCATTTTAGCAGAGGAAAAAATGGTCTTTCGCGCGGCTTAAGATTAAAGTGAATGAAATTTTCAATCTCCCGGCTCAAATTTTATTGAATTCACTAACATTTTGATTGCGTCTAACGTTGTAGGCATTCGACGTTTTATATCCTTTTACGTTCAATTATAATTCTAAACGACGTTTATAATTGGCATTTATTTACAAAAAATTGCCACCGGTCATTTTTAACGTTGGCTATTGAAATAGTTAACCGTTAAAAGCGTGACTTTTACGTTGTTTTTCACTAGTGAATAATATTTTTTTTTAAACAATTAAACAACTTAAATTTTAATAAAATAAAATTAGGTAGGTGGGTTGGTGGGCCAACCCGGCCCACTACGGGTTCAACCCGCATGAGCCAGGTTTAAATGAGCTGGGTTGAAATCTGACCCGCATAAAAAAATACAATTTTTTCAAACCCAACCCAGCTCTGACCCATGGTGGGCCGGTTAGCCTATAGGGTTGTGACCCATTTTGACAGCTCTATGTATGACATATCCGATCGGCCACAAATCAACGATCAACCATAGCAACGACCACCAATTGAGCCACTAGTGAACTCGACCAAACCACCAAGCAAACCAATCGATCATGAGTCATATATTAACCTTAATATTGATCAACTTACAGGTAAAGTATGATTACCCACAATTGGGCCATGATTATGCCAATGTTAACCTAAGAGCCAATTCCGAAACCTATAAATTGAAGTTTGAGGTAATGAAGTAGGTGATATGCATTTACTATGCCATTAATTCATTAACTGCTAACATTGAACTGATTTTGCCATCAAAGTTCCTTTTGTAGGTACCTTCCGAGCGAATTGTTCCAATCCAACATTAGATGTTCAGAGGATAATTTAAACATTGGACAACGCATCACGTAGTTTTAAATTTAAACCATTGAACCTCAATCCTACACCAAAACATAATACTTTAATTTTTCTAAAATAAAATAAGTGCAAGCCACATTAAACAAAGTGTGTATAAAATGTTTGAATTTGAAAAAAACTTTCAA